GAAAGTGAAGCATAGAAGAGGAGGAAGGAAAGGAGAAAGAGGGAGAACATGTCACCAAGCTCAGATCCCAGGCGACCCAGCGATTTGAAACTGTTCTTAATCACTACACATCAATTTTTCTTGGTTCTTCTGTATTTAATTACATTACATACTGTTAGTAGCATGTAAAACAATATTTCATACAGACATACATACACAGCATAGTAAACAAACTATACTCGTCACAGGGCAAAAAGAAAGTTCATCTACTGGAAACTCTCCAGGACTTTGGAGACACTGACACTCTCAGCCAGCATACAGCTCATAAGCCATATTACTGAAGGCTCCTTGAGTACCTCCTCACCATGATTGGGCCAAGCCTTAAAATCTTTTGTCTATAACATAAATGTATTTAGTAATAGATAACAAACAATCTAATCATAAACAAGTGACAAAGCAGCAAATAGAAATTGCGGTCATTTTCATTAATTTGTCTTCAATAATTAAGAACTCAGGCACTGAAATAACACTGGCATTTTATCTTGCTCCAGTAAGAATGACCATCCTCAAGAAATCAAGTAATAATCAATCAAGTATGCCAGTGGGGCTACAGGGGAGAAGAACCCTGCTACATTGTTGATGGGAGTTCAAACTAGTACAACTACTATGAAAATCAGCATGGACAGTCCTCAAAAGACAAACTCTAGAAATTCCACTTGGCCCAGCTAGTCCCTTTCTAGGTATCTTCCTGAAAGAGTTATAAAGACATAGTACAGTGATGCATACATACCCAGGTTTGTAGCAGCACAATTCATATTAGCAAGTCTTGGACGCGGCCTGTATATCCATCAACAGATGGATAGATAAAGAAAATGTAAGATTTGCTCACAGTGGAGCACCACTCTGCCAGAAAGAGAGGTAGACGTGCGTCATTTATGGGAAATGGATGCACTTGGGGACCATATCTGAAATAAATCAAACGCTCAAATCTAAATACCACGTGGTTTCTCCTACATGACAAACCCAAAATATAAAAAAAGAGCAAATTAAAAGACAGATAACAGGAAAAGGGGGACAGAGATCTTTTGCAATTTGGGAAGGGGACCAAGAGATAGAGAAAAGGGGAGAAGAGCAGATGTGTTTTGTCCATGTAACAACTCCCCAGGAGAAAAGCGATCATTACCCACTACTAACACGTACTAATAAAAAATCAAAATTGAGTAAATGAAAGTAAAAAAAAAAAAAAAAAGCAAAAGCAAAGCAGCCTCGGGTGTCTCAGTCTTATCTCTAGTGACTTCCCTTGAACGCTGGCAGGGCCAGTGTTGGCAGCGCGGTTCACGCCTCCCGGGGCGCAGGCATCTGTCGCCACTGTCTGAACCCTCTCTGAATGCAGAGGTAGCTGTCTTGATGGCCACTCGGTATTGCCCTTGTTCCCTTGCTCTCTGAGCAATGAAGTCAGGGGATGAGGCTGGACAAATCCGGTGTGTTACCTGCCTGGAATAAAGCCACACCAGCTCAGATATGCGCCCTCTGCTGGCAACCCAGAGGGAACTCGAGTTGCGGCTCCCTAAACACATGGGAGGGGCACGTCGGTTTGCAACCAAGGTTGTATCGGGCGCTGGATTTTCAAACCGGTCCAATCCAGAGAATCGCTCTTGATATCACTACGCGGGAGAGGAGAGACGAGCAGCGGACAGAACACTACGATCACAGGTTGTAGGGTGGGCGCAGAGATCTGCTCCAGTCACCCTGAGGAGTGGACGCAGGAACAAACCCAACCCAAAACCCGCTCATTGCCACACGTCGGGTCTTCACCAGTGCAGCTGCTCTGTCCCTGTCCGTGGGTGCAGCTCTAACCACACCGAGCTTCCCAGTTCAAAGCCCTTTAGAGAAACCACGGTGGGAGGCTGAGGAAGGGGGTGAGAAACTGACGAAGGTGCGTTGTGTCCAAGGGCCAGCTCCCCACCACGCATGGACTTATCAGGTGCTGAAACACGAGCCAATAGAAAGTAAAGTTTAAAAGCAAAAGTAAATAATTTAAATGGATAGATGCACGTGCATGATGGATGTGGGCGAATATGTGTCTGTGTGTGTCACCTGTGACTAGGCAGAAAGGCAGGGGTGCTGCATGCTGGAACAGAGGAGCACAGCAAGCCAGGCAGGCGTCAGGGCAGCCCTTCTGAGGCTGCTGCATGGCAGTGACATTGGAGTTGTGACAAGACACAGCCAGCTGAAAGGTGGTGGCAGCGGGCTTGGGATCTGGCTCACAGGCTTCACCTGGGTGCCAGAACATCTTGCAGGGAACTTCTGGTACTGTCCCCCACCCACTGCCCCCTTTCTCAGTGGTCTGCAGAGCTCTGACTTCTGGGTGCAGGTGGGCTGGACCTAATCAGGAGACACAGATGGCAGTCGACTCAGACCAGGCCAGTCTGGCAGACTTCCTTCACTCCGGCTTGGTGCTTGGTACTTGGTGGTGGCTACTCAGGCCAGTCTGGCAGACTCTTCCTTCACTCTGGCTTGGTGCTTGGTACTTGGTGGTGGCTACTAGGTGTTCAGTGTCAGAACCCAGGTGGCACAGGTGGTTGGAGCCCTCACGCCCTCCTTTCTGGGGTGCTCAGAGCAGGAAGACATGGGCCCTGGACTCGCTCACTGGACACCAGGCCTCACTTCCCATGTGCATGATGGCCTTGGGCCCAGCCTAGCCCAAGGTGCAGGCGGTGGACAAAAATCCATGGCTGCGTGTCCCAGCCACAGCCAGAGGAGTATTATACACTGCGTGTATGTTCTCAGACTCTGCCTGCAGCCATCGTTCTGCGGGAGGTGTGGTTACACACACACACACACACACACACACACACACACACAGTCCTCAGGTACAGGGTCCCAGGTCCAGACTGCATGAGTACCAAGATGGAGACTAGCTGATGGCCTGAGCCACGGCCAATGTAACAGCTTGCAGAGGGCTGTGGATTCCACCACTCATGGGGCCCGCACTCAAGGTCCAAGCCTCGGATGACTGCGATCACCTTCTCCAAACCTCGGATGGCTCCGTCACCTTCTCCCACATCCTGGGTGCTGTGGTCTCTGCCCCGGTC